TGCACATCATCCACTTGGACCACCTGAGCTGGATTCAGAATGTACCTAATCAACTGAGACACATGAAACACATCATGAAGACTAGCAAGCAACAATGGTAAAGCAATCCAATAAGCCATCTCTCATATCCTCTGCAAAATCTAGTACAGACCGATGAAACACGAAGTAAGATTTTGAGACTTCAAAGCTCAGCTAACACCAATTAGTGCAGTAACCCTCATAAATAAATTATCTCCCTCATGGAACTCAAGTTCTTTCCTTAGTTTATCATGATATGTCCTTTGGCGATTCTAAGAAGCTCTCATCTTCTCCTGAATCACTTTAATTCTCTCTATTGTCTGTTGGATAATCTTCGGGCCAATTACAACACTCTCTCCTGATTCATACCAAAACAAAGGTGTCCTACACCTTCCACCGCCTCAAATGTTGCCATTCTAATTCTCAAATAGAAACTGTTATTGTAGGTAAAATCAATCAACGAAAGAAAACTATCCCAAGCACCTTCTTGTTCTAGCCACACAATCTCTCAACAAGTCTTCTAAGGATTAGATAGTCCTCTATGTCTGACCATCTATCTGCGAATGATAAGCAGAACTCAAATGAAACTTAGTACCTAAAACCTTCTGCAAACTCTCTTAGAATATCAACGTAAACCTCATATATATGTCAGACCCAATATTGAATGGAATCCCATACAAACTGACAATTTTCTCAATATATATCTCCATTAGTTTCTCCAATGGATAATTAAGTCTCATCAGAATGAAATGAGCTGATTTAGTCAACTTGTCCACAATAACCCAAATGTTGTCACAACTCTCCACTGCCCTCGACAATTCAGACTCAAAATCCATCAAAATATTGTCTTATTTCCACTCAGGAATAGACAACAGTTGCATCAAACCCAACGGCTTCTGATGTTTAACTTTTGATTTTTGACAAGTCAAACATGCGTACACAAATTCAACAACCTCCTTTTTCATTCTAGGCCCCCAAAATATCCTCTTCCAGTCTTAATACATCTTAGTATCACCAAAATGAATACTCATAATGATCGTACCTCGTCTTAAATGTAGTCTTTGGAATATCTTCATCCTGTACACGAATCTGATGGTAATCAGATCTCAAATCAATCTTGCTGAAAACACAAGCACCTACTAACTGGTTCATCAAGTCATCAATCCCCAAAAGTGGATACTTGTTTTTAATAATTACTTTGTTCAGTTGTCAGTAGTCGACACACAACTTCATACTACCATCCTTCTTCTTAACTAACAACACTGGCGCATCCCATGGAGAAACACTCGGATGAATATACTTCTTCTCAAGCAAATCCTCTAATTGCTTCTTCAGCTCACTCAACTCTAAAGCAGACGTTTGATAAAGAGCCACTAACAACGAACTCGTACCTGGTACCAAATCTATAACAAACTCAACCTCGCGCTCTGGCGGTAAATCATTGATGTCTTCAAGAAACGCTTTTGGAAAATCACAAATAATAGAAAGATTACTCACTACTCCCTTGCCTTTGCTTAGCTGATACAAACAATTCATCACTTGCATCAAACTCTAGAAATGACATTGGCTGTTCAAAACAGTTTATATGAACTTCGAATCTTCATTTTCAACAACCTCGGGAAATAAAACTAACTTATCCAACAACCTTCACTCTTGCAAACAATAGAACAATGAACTAACTTTCCACACCTGAAACATCTCAGAGAAGCATTAACTTATCCCCCACTTGTTTCAATCTTGCTCCTATAGAAAAGCGGCAAGAAAAACAAATGAGCACCAGCAGTGTTTTGCATACATGTCGCGTACTTGGGAACAAACAACATGTTAAAAACCTGGCCTGATGGAATGATCTTCTCTGATACCAACTATGTAACACATTATTTCCCCAACGCATAATTATAATTAAATCATATATTTTTCACAACATTCACATATAGGATATTACACATCTCCATCTAGGATCCCTAATGATTGACCCAGATCCAACCTCCCTACCTCACCCCACAAACCCATCTTTAATTTCAGAGATGAGGAAAAGTCTATGAAAGTTAACCATAAAGGGGGTACTACCAAGCCAAAGATCTTTCCAAAAGAAGGTCGAACAACCAGATCCAACCTTATTAGATAAGGTCTACTCAAACTAATTCAAATAATTTTCCTTCTTGGATCTAAGCAGTGTCACTCCTCTCCACCAGGAAGAAAATGATCGGTTCCCCGAAGACCTACCTCCATACTCGGAGGACATATAAGAGGCGTCATAACGGGAAGATAAAATATCTTATCAAAGACAAAACAATCCCATTATGAGCCTTCATCTCCACTTAGCAAGAAGTGTTAGGTTTATCAGTCTAAGATCTTTACCTAAATCCTCAGATTTCTTAGGCTTACACACTTCATACCATCTAACCCAGAGAATTTTTTTAGATATCCTTTCCACCCCACTCCAAAGGAATGTTCTTTGAATCCTAACTAACTTCTTCCACATTTTTACAAGCATTTTACGAAAGGAAAGAAAAGAACGTCGATATAGCATTTAGCACAAAATAAAAGAGAATATGTCTACCTTCTAAACTAACATATCTATGGGACCACAAGTTAAGTTTATTCCTGACCATATTCAATAGAGGTTCCCAAATGGACTCCAACCCAAGATTGGTGCCAACTGATAATCCGAGATATCGGAATGGGAGAGACTCAATCTTACATTGTAGAAACCCCCCGACTAACTGAGAAAAAGAGGGATCAACATTAATCTCAATCAAACTGCTCTCATAAAAGTTAACCTCGAAACCCAAGACAATTTCAAATCATCAATTTTTGTGCTTAAACAAAAAATATTTTAACATAATATTGACTTAAATCACAAACTTGAAATCTTGAAATCTCGGTTGGAAGTTGTATATAGACCTCGAGTGAACGAGCATGAATTTAAACCCGTAACATCCCACTTGTTCGTCTTTAATAAAGATGAGCTCCAACTACTAAACTGCTTTTGAGACATTGAATTAGACACTTGATAAATAAGAGTTTTGTAACAAATTCCTCTGTTATATTTAGTATTCTTTTTTCTTTTCTTTTTTTTATAAAAAAAAAATTTAAAAATTTAAAAACACGTTCCTTTGAAAGTTTCCCTTATTTGAGTCTAAGTATATAGGCTGCTTTTGATGATGTATTAAGAGTTGAAAGGAAAAAAAGAAAAAAAGGAGGCAAAAGTATTATTAGTTGATATCAATGTTATAATAAAATAAATGCTAGTAAACAGCAAAAAAGGCCAAATTTGTCTCATCTTAACATCATTCTAACATTTTTTAAAAATTCTTTTGCGTCTTATTCAAGTAACAGTGCAGTACGATTCATTTTTTTTACAAATCACTATCATTCATATTTATTTATTCATATCACACTAATATTATTTTTTGTTATATTAAAATACAGCAATCATGCTTCTTCAGAGGGTTTCGTTTGTTTTTATTAAAGATAATTTGTATTCCTTAAAGTCAAACCAAAGAAAATGAATCCAAATGAAAAATAAAATTACTATGCTTCATGTTTTAATTAAAAAATAAAACTTTTATAGGAGTATATATATATATATATATATATATATATATATATATATATATATATATATATATATATATATATATATATATATATATATATATATATATATATATATATATATATATATATATATATATATATATATATATATATATATATATATATATATATATATATATATATATATATATATATATATATATATATATATATATATATATATATATATAAAAGCATCAATGAAAAATTTGAAAATTAAAATTTGTTAATTGTTATGTTGGTCCAGAAATGTCACAATCTATGGTTAATTCATGACGAAAATCCCATAAAGGTTAGCAGAATAAATTATTGTATAAAGCATGACTTATTCATGAATGACGAAATAGCAAAAAGTTTTTGAAGAAAATGATATTATTTTAAGTTTTGTTAGTAGGTTGAAATTTGGCATGATGTGTATGGTGGGACATAGGGCATTGGAGGAATCGTATATCTTAATCTTCATCATTAATGACAAGAACAAAACATTAGTTACATTTTTTGTGTTTATGGTTTGCTATGGATCTTGTTTTGGGATGACAAGTGACTTCTCTCATAGGGTAAAAAAATTAATCCATATTAGGTTAAAGTTAATCTTAACTCAACTTAAGTATAGAAAGGGACTTAAGATATATTTCACAAACTCGATTTATAGTTTTACACATATTTTATTTTCACTCTCACTCGTTTATTACAACAGATGGCAAACGAACATGTCCGTCCTGTTTATATTCGTCTCACAAAAATTTGCAAAAAAAACAAAGTGAGATGAGTCGGACAATCGTTTCACCCTCAGCTTAAATATCGTAAAATTTACGTTAATATCTGCCTCACAAAAGTTCAAAAGAAAATTGAGCGGAGGCAGAAATAGCTTACATAAAGTGCAAACAAGTCTATTTCATGCAATCATAGGTTAGATAAGGTAAAATCCAAAGCTCAAGTATAAAACTAGATAAGCAGTCTAGTACCTGCTAATAGCCCATAGGTTTACACCATTCTTGTTTTTCTTGCTGTCTTTACTCATAAGACATAAAGTAATCTATCTTAACACTTCCTTTGATGCCAAACAAGATTAGATTAAGGTTAATTAAAAGGGTTAAAGATATTTAATCATAGAATATGATGAAATAGTTCTCTTCACACATAAAATCTATGTACTAGCCTTTGTCCAAGTCAACAATCTTGCACCAATTACTAAGTCTAAGTAACTGCCAAATGTTAAGATATAGCCCCCTAAGTTATAAACAAACAAATCAATAAAACTAATTACTATGACTTAATCAACTTCAAAACTCAACTAATTCAACCCTTCACTCACTCTCTCCTCACATATAAATACACTAAACCAACTCAAAAATAAACCACAAAACCAAACTTCAACAATGGGAAGGAAGAGAAAGGTTTCTGAAGTAGTTGAAGAAGGAAGCATGGTTTGGGATGACATGATGAAAGAAGCAGCATCCCTAGGAGGAGCAAGACGAGTCCGAAAACGATTCGTCGGCGTTCGACAAAGGCCGTCCGGTCGATGGGTTGCCGAGATAAAAGACACCATTCAGAAGATAAGAGTTTGGTTAGGAACTTTTGATACAGCTGAAGAAGCTGCAAGAGCTTATGATGAGGCTGCTTGCTTGCTCCGCGGCGCGAATACTCGCACGAATTTCTGGCCTTGCTCTCAATCTTCAACTAGTCCTGCTCTTTCTTCAAAGATCACTAATCTCTTACTTCAAAGACTTAAAGAAAGGAACACGATGAACAATAATAACTCTTGTTCTTCGTTTTCTTCGCCGAATTACACTTCCTTGTTGGGGAGTTCCGAGGAGAGTCAGGAGCACCAACGAGTGAATGATCAGGTGACACAACAAGTGGAGGAAACCTATGGAGAAGTATCAAAAGATTTCTCAATTGATCAGTTCACGGATTTTCTCAACGATCACGAAGATTATAGCGCAAGCAACAACGAGTTCATCAACGACGCTGCTCAATTCGACTACATTTCAAGTAGTTTCGAGTCATGTTTAACCGAAAACAACGTCTGCAAAGGAAACGACAACTCAAAAACACAGACTTCAAGTGGTGATAGCAATTCAGAAGACAGTGAAGAAGAAGTGAATGAGTTAGGAGCTCCGGATTTTGGGTTCCTGGACGATATTGCTCCAACTAGTTACTACTCGCCATTCGAGATAGCGGAAGAAATGGAAGAGAAAATAGAAACAGAAGATTTTCATGATGAGCCTTCAATGATAAGAGCTGTGATGAAGAGAATGAAGTATGAGAGAAAATGTTCAGCTTCTCTATATGCATTCAATGGAATACCGGAATGTTTGAAGTTGAAACTTGAATCAGGGAAGAATAATGGAAGAGGATTGATTTCTGAACAATTGAACAATCTTAAGGAATCATGTAGCAAGAAGAACAAGGTTGAGAAGAATGAAGAAAATGAACAAGTTTCAATGGAGATTGAAGCTTGTTCATTGTCAAGGAATGATAGTGATGTTTTTCTTTGGAATTCACTTGATCTTCCTCCAATTTGTTTTGTTAACTTACTTGAAAATGGTTCATTTAATTAGCAATCTTAATTTTTATTTCTGTTTCATTAATGCATGCTTAATTCATAAGCAATTATACCTAATTTGTAACACTTTGTTTTGTAATATCTAATTTCTAATGAAAGTATTTTATTTCATTCATCAAATTTATTCCATCGATTGCTAACATAACCGAAGAAATAGATAATTTAATTTTTAATTTAAAAATAACACAAATTGAAAAAGAAATAAAATTAAAAATTGTACTCGCTGAAATTTAAAGTATGTTTTTGATGGATTTTTCTCATTGATTGTCAACCAATTGAGAGAATATATGGTTTAATTTTTAATTAGAAAAATAGAAAAGTTATACCTTGATTTAATATTCAACTGAGGTGAAAATTTTATTAAAAAATGAGAAAAATGAATATGTATTAGCACTGTAAAATTTTTATATTATGTTGGTGATTTTAGTATCATCAATGTATTTTAGTAGTAATGTGATTTATTGTAGGTCGATGCAATTATGCGTTAAGCTTGGAAATGAGTTAGGGTAGTGCGGAGTGCACGCTCGTTGAGCCAACGTGCAATTGAATGCGAATAATTGAAAAGAGGTTCCAAGGGGCGGAGCCCCTGGCGGGGTGCGGTGCAGCGCCCCGAGCAAAAATTTTCTGAAAAATTTTCTGAACAGTTGAACCTGTTCGAAATCTTTCTGAACGCTTGAACCCGTTCAAAATTTTTGAACCGTTGTGTCTTTTCAATTTATGTTATTAATCTCCTATATAAGGAGTCATTTGGCCTCAGTTTTAACGGACAGAATAACGAAAATGATACTCTCTCTCTACATTCCTGATATGTTCTCTATTGCCAGAAGCAGATTGTTCTTCAAGAATTATCCCCACAAAGATTTCGCGAACCCAGGCAAATAATAGGGTCGAAATACTTTGTTCGGAAAATGTACGAACACGATTCCTCGAAGATATCCAAGATTATCATACCAAATTTTTCTAACAAACGAACAAAGAGAGATAATCATGGCTGGAGGAAGCACCGTCAAGGAGATGACTATGAATTTCGGAAAATTGGACAAGTTTCAAGGACAAGACTTCAGGCATTGGCAGAAGAAGATGCATTTCATGTTGACAACGTTGAAGGTAGCGTACGTCCTGTCCATACCGATTCCAGAACTTCAGGAGGAAGACACGGTTGAAAATCTGGGAGAACGACGACTACATATGCAGAAGGCACATTCTTAACGGTATGTATGATCCCTTATTTGATATTTATCAAAATATGGAATCTGCAAAGGAATTGTGGGATTGTCTCGAATCCAAGTATATGGCAAAGGACTCATCCAGTAAAAAGTTCCTGGTAACCAATTTCAACAATTACAAAATGGTTGAATCGAGGTCTCTCATGGAACAATTCAATGAACTCCTCTGAATCCTTGGACAATTCACACAACACGGATTGAAGATGGATGAAACAATATTTGTCTCAAGCATCATAGACAAGTTGCCTCCTTCGTGGAAGGATTTCAAACACAATCTGAAGCATGGAAAAGACGAACTGTCTTTGATCCAACTTGGAAGTCACTTGCGCATAGAAGAATCTCTAAGAGCGTAGGAGGGTGACAAAGGAAAAGACAAAGAAATTGTTGGACCCTCGGTTAATATGGTCGAAGAGGGTGGTAAGAACAATAACAACAAAAACAAAGGAAAGAAGCGTGCTTTCAAGAACAAAAATGGAAGTTTTGATGCTAACAAGAAACTGAAACTAGAATGCTGGAAGTGTGGCAAAACAGGCCACTTCAAAAAGGATTGTCGTTCCGGAAAAAGGCACGATAACGCGAATGCAAGTGGTTCAGGAAAGGGGTCTAAGGACCAATCTGAAAACCAAGGTCAGAAATCAATTCGTGATTTGAATAGTTTGATTAAACATTCGGTTTCACTATATTCTGAAGCATTTTATGTGCAGGATGATGCTATTGCGTGGTGGATTGACTATGGCGCCACAACACATGTTTGCAACGATCGTTTTTGGTTCAAGACTTTTGTTCCAATGAAAGATGGTTTTGTTCTCTACATGGGAGATGATCACTTCACTCCCGTTGAAGGAAAAGGAAACGTGCTGCTAGAATTCAGTTCTGGAAAGACTATTACTTTGTTTAATGTTTTGTATATTCCTAAACTACGTAAGAATTGAATTTCTGGTCCTGTATTAAATAAGCTTGGATACAAGCAAGTGTGTGAATCCGATAAATATGTATTATCGAAGTCTGGTGTGTTTGTAGGATTTGGATATTATAATAATGGTATGTTTATGATGAATTTGAATGGAGTTCCTAATAATTCTGGTTCTGTTTTTATGTCCTCTTCGAATATTATCAATTCATCGTTATGGCATGCTCGTCTAGGACATGTACATTATAAGAGAATGCATGAAATGTCTAAAGATAATTTAATTCCTGTTTTTAATGAAAATGTAGAAAAGTGTAAAACTTGCATGTTAACAAAGATAACTAGGCAACCTTTTAAAAGTATAACAAGGAAATCTATCATTCTTGAGTTAATACATAGTAATTTATGTGATTTGCATGCTACTTCATCATTAGGGCATAAAAAGTATTTTGTCACCTTCATAGATGATGCATCTAGATTCTGCTATGTTTATTTGTTGCACACTAAAGACAAAGCCTTAGATAAATTTAAAATTTATAAAACTGAAGTTGAAGTGCAATAGAATGTGTTGATTAAAACATTACGTACAAATAGAGGTGGTGAATATTATGATCCTGTATTTTTCCAATCCGTAGGAATCATTCATGAGACTACGACACCTTATACACCTCAACAAAATGGTGTGGCTGAAAGGAAAAATAGAGTTCTTAAAGAAATGGTGAATGCCATGTTATCTTACTCTGGTTTGAGTGAAGGGTTTTGGGGAGAGGCTATGTTAACGGCTTGCTATTTGTTAAATAGGGTTCCTAATAAAAGGAACAAAACTACCTCATATGAACTTTGGTATAAGAAACGACCCAACTTAACTTTTCTACGTGTTTGGGGCTGTAGGGCCGTGGTTAGACTCCCGGACCCAAAAAGGAAAACTTTGGGTGAAAAGGGTGTAGCTTGCATCTTTGTGGGATATGCTGAGCACTCCAAGGCCTATAGGTTTTATGTTATAGAACCTAATGACTTGATTTCTATTAACACCATTATAGAATCGAGAGATGCCATATTTGATGAGAATTGTTTCTCTTCTATACCTAGACCAAAGGACTTTATACCTAATTCAGATGAATCTCTAAGGGATGAAGAGATTGGTTCTATCATGGAAAATAATACTTGGGTATATTATCTGATTTACCACCAGGATGCAAACCATTGGGTTGCAAATGGATCTTCAAAAAGAAGATGAAAGTCGATGGTACAATTGACAATTTTAAAGCTAGATTAGTTATCCAAGGCTTCAGACAAAAGGAAGGGATTGATTATTTCGATACCTATGCTCCAGTTGCCCGTATCACTACTATTAAATTGTTGATTGCCTTGGCGGCTATTCATAATCTAGTGATTCATCAAATGGATGTCAAAACAGAATTTCTGAATGGTGATTTGGAAGAAGAAATGTATATGAAGCAACCTGAAGGATTCGTAATGCCTGGTAATGAGCATAAAGTGTGTAAGCTAGTTAAGTCGTTGTAAGGGCTGAAACAAGCTCCGAAACAGTGGCATCAAAAGTTTGATGAGGTTGTTTTGTCTAATGGTTTCATTCTAAACCAAGCTGACAAATGTGTATATAGTAAATTTGATACACCCGGTAAAGGGGTTTTCATTTGTCTATATGTTGATGACAGGTTGATCTTTGGCACCGACCAAAATCAAATTGATAAAACGAAGAATTTCTTGCCATCAAAGTTCTCCATGAAGGATATGGGAGAAGCGTACGTTATTCTTGGTATCAAGATTAAACGGGAGAATAAGGGGATTGTAATTACGCATTCTCATTACATTGAGAAAATACTCAAGAAGTTCAATTATGAAAGTTGTTCTCCAGTAAGTACTCCCATGGATCCGGGAGAAAAGCTTATGCCAAATACAGGTAAACCTGTGGATCAACTCGAATACTCAAGAGCTATAGGCTCTTTGATGTATGCTATGATTAGCACTAGACCGGATATTGCTTATGCGGTTGGAAAGTTGAGCAGATTTACTAGTAATCCTAGTAGACATCATTGGCATGCGATAACTAGGGTATTCAAGTACTTGAAGGGTACTATGAATTATGGATTGTCATATATGGGATTTCCTTCGGTGTTAGAGGGTTATTCAGATGCTAGTTGGATAAATAATGCTGAAGATTCATCCTCTACAAGTGGATGGGCGTTCTTGCTTGGGGGAGGCGCCATCTCATGGGCTTCTAAGAAGCAAACGTGTATAACAGGTTCCACAATGGAATCTGAGTTTGTAGCATTAGCTGCTGCTGGTAAAGAAGCAGAATGGCTAAGGAACTTAGTATATGAGATTTCGATATGGCCTAAACCGATATCACCAATTTCTATCCATTGTGATAGTAAAGCCACATTGGCTAAAGCTTATAGTCAAATATACAATGGAAAGTCTAGACATTTGGGTGTTAGACATAGTATGATTAGGGAATTAATCATGAATGGGGTGATATCTATTGAGTTTGTTCGGTCGCAACAAAACTTAGCTGACCACTTGACGAAGGGGTTAGCTAGAGACTTAGTGAAGAAGTCGGTAATTGGAATGGGATTAAAGTCCATTTAAATCTATTAGCTGTGGTATACCCAATTCCCTTCTAATACAACATTAGAAGCAGAATTCAATGTGGAAAAATCATAGTTAGAGATTGGAGCAATTGTGTTTATCTTCCCAAGGTATGTGCTCAGACCTGCAAGTGATGGCTAGGTTGAAGTATATCTTCTTAATGGTTCTTTTGGAAAATTGCAAATGCAGGTGCAAGATTAAAAGGATCACCTATGTGAGCATGAAGTTTTTCCGCTTCAAGAAGCTTGGACT